TTAGTACAGGTTGAGTTAACAATACATTTTTTAAATCTTCAAATGTTTTTTGGCATTCCTTAGTCCAATTAAATGGTTGATCTTTTCTCAGAAGATTATGCAAAGGATCCAATTTTATTGCTATTTTTGGGACATATTTATGATAAAAATTTATCTTCCCTAGAAACTGTCTAACATTTTTCTGTGTTTTAGGTATGGAAAGTTTTTTTATTGAAATCAAGTTGTCTTTCAGTGGCTTTACACAATTATTTTTTATTACATGACCCAAGTATTTTACTGATTCAGCTGCAAACATGCATTTTACAAATTTTAATCTGAATCCTTCACTTTTGATTGCTTTAAATAGTTGTGCTAGATGTCTGATATGTTCCTGGAATGATTTTGAAAAAATGAGTATGTCATCTATGTAGCTCACTGTAAAATCTGCAAGTTTGTGTTTTCTTATTATGTTACACATTATTCTTTGGAATATGCTGGAGATGTTTTTAACCCAAATGGTAAACAAGTCCACTGAAAGTGTCCTTCTTGTGTGACAAATCCAGTTTTGTGCCTATCTGTAATGCGCATAGGGATTGACCAAAAAGCAGAGTTTATGTCCAATGTTGAGAAAAATTTGCAATTTCTTGTCTTTACCATTAAATCCTCTATAAGTGGAAAGGGTTGTGATTGGGGTACTACAATTTTATTCAAGTCTCTAAAATCAATGCACAATCTTGACTTTGTATTTTCATCTCTTTTATAAGCTAATGTAACTGGGGCTGCAAAAGGACTATACGATTCTTCTATTAGATTCTTGTCTAGTAGCAACGCAATTTGTTTCTCAATCTCCTTTTTATCATCAACTGTGGTTTGATATGGCCTTTTGCTGCAATATTTCTCTTCCAATAAATCAATGTGTGCTTCATAATCCTTCACTGTCCCTACATCATATTTGTCTTTTGCAAAGACAGATTTGTTTTCACATATTAATTCATTTATTATTGATTGTTGATCACAATCTAAATGGTCTACATGAATTTTAAAATTTGTCTCTTCAAAGTGTTCATTGAAATTTATTAAATATTTATTTCTCATTTCATTTAAATTATTAATTTCATTTGTTTCCTTAGAATCAAAATTTATTTGTTGATTATTATCTCTTAATTTCACTAATGTAATGTCACAATTTTTTGAAACTGTTTTAATTTCTGTAGTCACATCATTTTGAATAGGCACTTTTCGACTTATTTGTAAATTTTCATTTTGACACAAATAGAATTTTTTTATACAATCTAAACCAATTAAAAAATCGTAATCAAAATTATCTTTTTCAATCACAAAGACTTCTGTCTCTTTTTCTATATCAAAAATTTTTACATGTAATTTTACCATACCACTGGTTTTTTTTAATGCCATTAATAGTTTTTAAATTAGTATTGTTAGAATCAATTGAATTATTGTTATTTATTTTTAATAACTTTGAATTTATTAATGAAACATTTGAACCTGAGTCATATACTCCAAAAATCTCAATATTTTTATTCAACACTAATTTTATTTTTATTAATGGCAGTATTAACAGTTTTTTGGATTAGCTGGATTTTTGGATTTTAAAGTCGTCTACTTTAAAATGCATAATGTATGTCTGAATTGTCGATATAAATGAGTCAGATAAAATTAAATTATTAGAAGAATTTTTCACTATGTAACAAAAAACAAAATTTGTTTAATTTACTGTTTGTATTTTGAGAACGATTTCCGAAGTGGAAATTGAAACGTCAATAAACGTATTTTTATCTTTAAAAAAAATACTTTTTATTATTTTGTTGTATTTTCTTCTTTTATATTCCTTAGAAATGTTTTTATTCCAGAGTACGCTGTTCAGTAAGGCTATGCCTTTCCTTCCCTGTGTATTTCGTTCCTTAATGGCTGCATCTAATTTCCTGCGTGACAAGAATTGTCCCAAATAGTTCTTCCGTACTATAATTGGCCATGAAATAGTGCAAAATAGAACATTTATTTAAATTTATGCTTCTCTATTTAGAAGTATAGTATTTCATTTCAACATCTTCATTCAGATTTACCCTCCTTTAGTATGTCCAACAACTAAATAGCGATGAGTTATAGAAGAAATTTTGAAATGAGCTACAGCGTACTGATACGTTGAAATTAAGTACTTGTTTTTTCCTTGGTCAGTACAATAGTCTTATTAAATTTTGTATTTCAAACCGTCATAATCGGTTTTTAAAGATGTTTGTTTTAAATACATCAGCAAGCATGAACCAATTTCTATAACATCTTTACTGTCTTCTCCTTTTGGTTTTGGTAGAGCAGCTTGCACTATCAGTACAAGCAACTTTTTATAAGTTAGTTACATTTTCTTTGTTAATTTTTTCTAGCTACCAGCTTAAGTTTTTTCCTATAATGGTTATTATAAGCATCTTCTAAACCTATTTTTTCTTTACTGTTTGAATTTTTGTATTTTTCGCAATACCGGCATTGATCTGATTGATTAATGATCCTCTCCTGTCAAATACCTCAACCTTAAATACCTTAACTCAACCTGATATCTAAACCTTATTACTCTGAAAACATCTTTAGAGACCTTGGACGAACCAGAAAATGGGATTGCTGTAAATGACCAACTAGTAAGTAACATTAGATATGCAGACGATACAGTGTTGCTAGCAGATAGTGCGCAGGGGCTCCAAAGGATGATGGATAACGTTGTAGAAGCATGTAACGAATACGACCTAAAACTAAATTGCAAGAAGACAAAAATAATTATCATTAGTAAGAACACCGGCATAAACGCCCAAATTACAATTAACGATACACCGTTAAAAAGAGTGATAAAAATATGCTATTTGGGCTCCAATATTAAGGATACTTGGGATCACAGATACGAAATAAAAACTCGTATTGAAAAAGCCAGAAGCTCTTTCAACTGCCTTAGGAAGATTAACAAAACCCACAAGGAAAACAATTCCTGTAGCTGGCTGTATACCACGTATCACAAAAAAGAGGTCAGTCTTCGTAAGTGGGTATATTTATTTAAAAACCCTTAAAAGGGATACATCCAAAAAACAAACGTTTTCGGACTAGACAGTCCATCATCAGGTTTAAATTTTAAAATTGCTAGGTTAAAATGCCCGAGCCACCAAAATACATGGGTAAAAACCGTTTAAATTACATATAGTTGTAAAAGATTATACATCTTGTTGTTAAAAAACTGTGATGTTCAGTATTAAATTAAATATTTCTTTAGGTAACATACATTGCTGAAGTGGGTTCCAGAACCGGAGAGTAAACCTCTACACACGGAGAACAGCTGGAAACTGATCTATCAGTTGAACTGATGATATCAGTTTCCAGCTGATATCATCAGCATCCATCACCAACTGATGGACTGTTTAGCCCGAAAACGTTTGTTTTTTTGATGTAGCCCTTTTAAGGGTTTTTAAATAAATATACGCATTTACGAAGACTAAATCTTAGGAAGATTCTCTGCAACTTATCTTTATCAATATACGCATAAAAATTCTTAGATGTTACGTCTCTTTAGTGTCCTCTTCTATGAAATAGAAAGCTGGATCCTTACAGAAGATGCCATAAAATGATTGGAGGCATTTGAAATGTGGTACTAACGACGTATGTTGAGAGTCTCATATATATACCACACAAGTAACATACCTATTCTCCAGAGGCTTAGAAAAGACAAAGAAATTATTAACATCATAAAAAAAACAGAAAATTGACTTACTACATAATGCGTAATGATAAATACCGACTTCTTCAGTTGGTTAACCAATCTTTGGAAATGGACTGATCTAAAGGCTGATTTATAAACTTTACGTTGGCGTTGGCGCTGGCGCTGTCGTTCGCTTTACAACATGGTCAAATGGAAAAGTCGTATGACTATTTATAAACATCGTTCGCCGTTGGCGTCGGCGTTCGGTTCCGTTCAAGATGAACCAACTTTATCTTTTGCAGTTGGCCGTTGTAGTACAGAATACACCAACCTTTCTGCGGTTGTAGTCACGATCACAGAACATAAAAAAACTGCATCTTTGTCATCGCAGCCAATAGCAATACCGAAAAGGTGACAAGATTTGTCAAACAAATTAAACTAAATATTATTTGTTTATGTTTGTGTTTCCATGTGTTAATAAAGTGGAAGAGTTTAGATAATAACAAGCCTCTCTTTAACAGAAATTCCATCAGAGCGATAGTTTACATTTATTTTTGGTTTTACCATTTGCAGTAATTTTTCAAATACTGGAACCTGCATCCTGGTATATTTAAAAAACTGCTTGGTATCCCAGTTTTTAATATTTTTATAATAATTAAAATTACCTCTTGTCTTTCTCTACTGGTTAATGGACCTCTGTTTGTATCTACGTTGTCTTTTATTTCGAAGGCTCAGTGCTGCTCGAATACAAAGTATCAGTGCCACTGCACCTTACAAAGGCCGAGCATTTTCAATTTCCATTGTATTAATTTTCATGCAATGTAAATTTATAAATGCAGTGTATGATAGCCAGCGCCAAGGTCAACGGCGAACGCCAGCGCCAAGGTCAACGGCGAACGCTAGCGCCAACGCCAACGAAAGGTTTATAAATCAGCCTAACGGCAACTGATCTATTTCGAACTGCTGTAAATATAATAAGATGGCTCAATGTGCTCGCCACGCCAAGATCTCTAGAAGATAGTCACATTTAGAAGGAGAATGGATAAGCCCACAGTCAAAAAAAAAACGACAGCACACAAACAATTAACTCCTGAACAAATAATAAAATAAATGAGACGAATTAAGAATGTTATAGCTAACTTTTTTATCTTCCGCAATAAAATCAGGAGAAATTTTATTCTTAAAAACTCCTTATCTAAAACCATTATTTAAATTAAGTCAAAATAAACGTCGTTTATCTTCAAGAGATTAAAAATTTTTTTTTTATAAATACATACCTCAACATTTTTAATACAATGTTAAAACTTTTTTTTATTTTATACCATAAAATATGGTGGACAAAAGCCGTGTTAATGACTTAAATCAGGTGAAATATATACCAGTAGATAATGGTGAGCTAAAACCTATACGCGAAGAAAAGAAGTCAGATACTTTCTACTTCTATTTCGTTGTAATAACAGGTAAGTCACTTTTAATCATATTTCACATCAATTATGCTATATTTATCCACTGCTAAATGTAGGTTTTCTGTAAACTTTTCAACATCTTTGTACCTTAAACTTTTTTTCAGTCAATTTGTAGTGATGCGCTTTATATCATCCGTCCATATCTCTGCTTTGATATGTTTTGCCTTGGACTTCTTCTTCTTCTTAGGGTGCCTGTCCGTTCTGAACGTTGGCGATCATTCTGGCTATGATGATTTTGTTGGTTGCTATACGAAATAGCTGTGTTGAGGTCTTTCTATACCATGCTCTCAGGTTAGCAAGCCAGGATATTCTTCTTCGTCCTGGGGCTCTTTTTCCTTCAATTTTACCCTGCAAAATGCATTGGAGTAGCTCGTATCTGCCTTGATTTCTCATTATATGTCCCAAGTACTCCAGCTTACGGCTCTTCACAATGTTGGCCAAATCCGCGGTTGTGTTCATCCTCCGCAGTACTTATCATTGGTGACTTTGTCTGTCCATGGTATCTTCAGGATTCTTCTGTATAACCATAATTCAAACGCCTGAAGTTTTAATAGAGTTTCCGCGTTCAATGTTCACGTTTCTACTCCGTACAGAAGCACTGAGTACACGTAACATTTAAGGAGCCTTATTTTTGTTTTCAGGGTGAGGTCATGGCTTTTGAACACAGAGCTCATAGTCAAGAATGCACTTTTGGTCTTTCCGATGCGACATTTAATCTCTTGGGTATTGTCCCACGACTCATTGATTATAGTTCCCAAGTAATTGTATTGTGAGACACGTTCAATTCTCATTTGGTTCACATACAGATATGCTCCAGTTATGTTTTGCTTGCTGATGATCATTAGCTTGGTTTTGCTGGTATTTATATCCAGTCCATACGATGGACTGGATATAAATACCAGCATTCTACTTGTTTCTGTTATTTTGTTCATTAAGTTTTGCAGCCCTTCTATGGTATTGGAAAACACTATTGTATCATCTGCATACCGCAGGTTATTAGGCTTGACTCCATTTATTAAGATGCCTTCATCAATATCTTTTAGGGACTCTTCAAAATGCAGAATTGCCTTGGACGCCATTCCAGAATCTTTCTAGTCCATCTATTGATCATCAGTCTGGCAACATATTCGTCTTACTCTATTAGGATTGGCTGTTCTTTAAACTTAATTTGTAACTCCTGCCCTTCTTATTTCTAGGTTTTCTACTTTATCTTCTTCTTCTCATTTCTTCTTCTTCTTGTATGTAAGCATAAAAGCCTGTTTCTTCTTCAATATTAGCCTCCTCAATTGTTTAAATTGTCGCACCATCTTTTTCTTGGTCAGCAATACTTCTTCTTCCATTTGGTTACTTCTTTTTCTTCTTACGGTGCCTTCGGAAAGTGTGCAGGCCTCTACTCTGTATAATAACGTAGAAAATACATAGCATCTAATTAGAGAGATTTTGGTAGCAAGTGGTATATCGTGACTTCTGAAAAGAGACTTTATCATTGTGAACGCTGATCTCGCTTTTCCTATGCGTTGTTTTATTTCACTGGAGTGATCCCATTGGCTGTTAATGTTGGTACCAAAGTATGTGTAGCTGTCCAGTCTGTCATTTGGATGTTAGTTAACCAAAAGCTGTGTATTTAATATTTCGCGCTTACTGATTACCATGTACTTTTATTTTCTTCGTATTAAGATCAAGTCCGTGTTCTCTACTTACATCTGATATACGCGACATTATTTATTGCAAACCGTCCAGACTATCTGCAAAACTACTGCGTCGTCGGCATATCTGATGTTGTTTAGACGCATTTCGTTGACTAATACGCCTTCTTGTAGTTCTCCTAGCGCTTGCTCGAAGATATAATCAGAGTATATAATGCGAGAATCCAAACTGCGTCCATGATATTTGTTCTTTGCATTTTTTATATATTCTGCCGTGTATCACTTTCAAGAACGTTTTAAGTAAGTGGCTCATTAGGCTAATTGTTCTGTAGTCTTCGTATGTCTTGGCATTTACTTTTTTTGGTACGGTCACGAAGGTCGACTTTAACCAGCTTTGGGGTATTTTTCCAGTTACGTATATGTTGTTGAATACAGTTGTTGTCAATTTTATTCCCTATTCATCCATAAGTTTTAGGAATTTTGCATAAAACTCGTCAGGCCCTACCGCTTTACCATCTTTAGTTTTACTATCATTTGGTTACTTATCTCGCGCTATTCGTATTATTCTATCCTCTGCCATTCTACTGATTTGTTCGTTCCACTCCTGTTTTCGTTTTGTCACCCATACACTTATGTCTTCTATATTGCATGCTCTTTTTATGTTTTCGCTTCTCTCCCTATCCAACAGACTTTTCCCTGATATTTGTCGGAGCATTTTCGCCTCTATTGTTTCTAGTAGATGTCTCCTTTTAGATGTGTCAGGTCTTTTCTTCGCCGTGTATTTTTCTTGTTCTTCGTTCTTGTTTTTGTGTCTTGTCTTAGCTTTTTTTTATTTCCGATCATGTCATTAAGAGATACCGCCGCTTCACTTGCTTTTAAGCTTTGTTGTCGTACTTCTTTTTAACATCTCTGTAACTAATTAGATCTATTTCCAGATATCTAAACCTTGCTTCCTGCTTTATTATTTTCCCATCAATTTCGATTTTACACCATAGTGGGTATTTAGATGTTGTCATACATTTGGTTTTTTCTGCTGATATTATCATATTGTATTTCTACGCTGTTGAATTGAAGATATGTGTTAATCTTTGGAGCTCGTCTTCTGTCTGAGCGATTAATGCGGTGTCGTCTGCATAACATAATATTTAAATTTCTCTGTTCCTTATTCTGCAGCCATGACCTTTACGTACTGTTTGTATTATTATGTCCATTATTATTATTTCGTCCATTACTGTATTAAAGAGGAGTGGGCTTAACGAGTCCCTGTCCGACTCCGCTTTTTGGTGGTATACACTGTGCTAGTTTTCCATTTATTTTTGCCTGTATTCGATTATGGAGGCAGATGTTTTTGATGGTTTGTATAATATTGATTGGTATGTTTTTTTATACAGTAGGTGTAAGACGTCTTCGACTTGGATGCAATCGAAAATATGCTGGTTTATTGTACTTGATGGCCTTTTCTGTGTTTTGTCTTAGTACAAATACGGCGTCTATGTAGAATCTTACGGATCTAAATCTTTGTTGTTCATCTAATAAAGTTGTTAGTTTATTGATTTTGTTGGTTAGGACTTTTGTGGGTAGCTTAAGTGCAGTTTTCAATAGATTTATATCTCTATCCTTTCAATAACGTCTGCTACTCCTTATCTTTTTTATTGAAATGATAACAACACTACACAACAACAAGTGGAACTGATCAGGTCATTTAGCAAGATCAGTTGATGATCGGTGGGCAAAAAGAATTTTGGAATGGATACCCTGAATACAAGCTTACAGAAATAGAGGTCGACCCCCAATGAGATGGACAGATGGCATAAAAAGAATGACTACAAATTGGATTCAGATAGCGCAAAATCGGAGTAAGTGGAGAAGCATGCAAGAGGCCTATGTTCAGAAGTGGACGTTAGAGGCTAGTTGATGATGATGATACCTTTATAATTGTTAGGGTCTTTTTTATCTCCTTTCTTGAATATTGGTATCATTATGCTGTTTGTCCATGCGTCTGGTATCTTGCAGTGCAATATTCGTTTTTGTATCAGTTTTGTCATCTTTAGGGTTATACTTTCTTCTCTGTGTTTTGGAAGCTCGTTGGTTATTCCGTCTGGTCCTGGTGACTTTCTATTTTTGAGTGAATCTATGGCTATTTCTACTTCCTGAAAACTGATTTCTATTTCGTGTCTTAATTTAGGTAAGTTATTGTGTTGATTATTATGTTCCTTTGCTTTAAACAGTTCCGTATGTTATTGTATTCCTTCAATTCTGCCATTTCTTAACGTTGGTTTCTTATGAGTCTCCATATTTGTTTTTGTGTACCGTAAAACTCGCTTTCCATCCTTCTTGTAAACTATTCCCGGTGTTCATTTTTTGTTCTTCTTACAAACTGCTTTGTTTCATTTCATATTCTTATCCAAATCATGCTTATAAAAACCTGCTTATAAAAAAAGTACTTTGCATTTAGGCAAAGAAGAACACATAAGGCCGGTAGCTGGAAATAAGAGTCTACATGACTTTACCAATGACAATGGTTCAAGGCTGATTGAGTTTGCAGCAGGGTGCAACATGATTATCAAAAGCACCCAATTTGCCAGGAAAAACATATATAAGGTAACATGGAGATCAAATGATGGAAGAACGAGGAACCAAATTGATCACGTATTAATTGATGGGAGGCATTCCAGTAGTATAATAGACGTAAGAACTAGACGGGGACCAGATAGTGATACAGACCATTTCCTAGTAAAGGCCAAGTTTAGAACTAGAATCTCAACACAAACAACAGACAAACAGATGAAGATCGAAAGATGGAATATGTCTAAATTGGAAGAAGAAGAGGGAAAGAGACAATACCAACTAGAATTGAGAAACAGATTCCAGGTGTTGGAAACGAAAGAAAATGGAAGAGAAAATATAGACCAGAAATGGCACTCCATTAAAACGATCATTACAGAAACAGCAGAGAAGTGTATAGGTCGGAAGAGAAAAGCAAAAAGAAAAAAATGGTTTGATGAAGAATGCGAGGATACCTTAAAAGAAGCAAACAAAAGAAGAATCGACTACCTAGCAAACCCGACGGATGAAAAGCGTGAACAATACAATAGAGAGAGAGCCTTAGCCAGAAGAACAGTAAGGAGAAAAAAGACAACATTTACAACAACAAATTGAAAAAGTAGAACGTGAACACAGAAGCAAGCAAAATAAAAAAATCTACAAAGAAGTAGGACAATATAAGAACACCGAACTTTGTGAGAGACAAAAATGAGCAAATGATTACAGCTGAAAATAAAATAATCGAAAGATGGGCTGAATACTTTGAAAGTCTGCTAAATGTCCAGGTAGACGCGGATGGAAATAAAGCAAATTGTGAGTACCAAACGGCCGAAATAGAAGTACCCCCGCCAAGCCTGGAAGAAATTATCACGGCGATAGAAACCCTAAAAAATGACAAATCCCCGGGACTAGACAATATTGATGCAGAACTGATTAAAAAAGGAGGGCATGAACTTAGAACTAAAATACACCAATTAATGAAAGAAGCCTGGGAACAAGAAATAATGCCAAAAGAATGAGTGGCTGTATTATCGTGCCAATACATAAAAAAGGCAGAAAGGATACATGTGGCAACTACAGGGGAATCTCACTAATCGGTACTACATATAAGATATTAGCTTCAGTTGTACTAAAACGATTACTGCCATATACAGAGGAAATTATTGGCGATTACCAATGCGGCTTTAGGCCTGGAAGATCAACAATCGACCAAATATTTACTATCAGACAAATGCTAGAAAAGTATTGGGAATATAATAAAGAAGTACACCAGATCTTCATAGATTTCAAACAAGCATATGATTCCATAGATCGCTTAAAACTGTGGAGTGCAATGATGGAGTTAGGCGTACCAAAGAAGCTGACCATGATTGCGCGAATGTGTGTCAACAATTTCTTTGCACAAATTAGAATAGGAGGCAAAACTTCAAAGGCTTTCGGCATAAGCACCGGGCTCAGACAGGGAGACCCGCTGTCTCCATTACTATTTAACCTAGCATTGGAATACGCAATGCGAAAAATCTATACCAGAGTCAAACCAGACATAACTGCCAGAGGAGCAAAGATTATTCTCGCATTTGCAGATGATGTAGATGCAGTAGCACAGACAACACTGGAAGTTAAGGATATAGTATCGAACTTTGAAGAAGCAACACTAAGCGTAGGCCTGAAAATAAACGAAGAAAAAACTAAATACATGGTGGTATCAAAAAAGGAACGACAGCGAATAAGACAAAACATTACCATAAATGATCATAATTTTGAGGTGGTCAAAGAATTCAAATACATAGGAGCAACAATTACCAGTGAAAACACAGGAGAACGGGAGGTTGAAATACGAATACTGGCAGGGAATAAGTCATTCTTTGCCATTCAACATCTAATGAGGTCAAAGCTTCTCTCAAGGCGTGCCAAAATCCAAATGTACAAAACCATAATACGACCAGCAGTGACATATGGAAGTGAAACATGGACATTGAGAAAGAAAGAAATCAATAAGCTATTAGTATGGGAACGCAAAATCCTGCGAATTATATATGGTCCTTGCAGGGACAGCGTGACAAATGAATGGAGGAGCAGATACAACAATGAAATAGAGACTCTCTTCGGGAAAGGAAACATCGTAAGATACATAAAAGCCAATAGATTACGATGGGCACGGCCACGTGGTACGGAGTGATGACGACAGACTGATTAGCAATGTGTTTTGGGAAAGACCAGATGGTAAACGATCGACAGGAAGGCCTAGAAAAAGGTGGAAAGACGCTGTCAGGGAAGACCTGGAGAAGATGGAAGTAAGGCAATGGGAAATAATAGCACAGGACCGGAATCAATGGAAGGCAATAGTAAACGCGGCAAAAACTCACGAAGAGTTATAAAAGCCAATGATGATGATGACTTTGCATTTAATAGTGTCGAATGATTTGATCCAAATCATACGACACTATTAAATGCGAAGTACCTTTTTTACAACCAGGTTGAACTTGTTTTAAATTTTATTGTTTACTTCGCTTCTTTTTAACTCTAAAGAACTTAAGTTTAGTTTTAATAATTCAGACACTCTTTTATTGCCATGTCTTAAGAGTTCAACTTATCTACACAAAGCCATTAGCATTAAGGCGTAATACTTAACCAATCTGCTTATGACTTTGTGCCTACTTGGGTAAAGCAGATAATGTCATTTTTGTCTAGTCTTTTTGCACCTAGAATTTGTAATAACTAAAACGTGTTTTAAACAGTCAAATATCGTTATAACCCTTTTGAAAGCTTTGATTATTCAAAATATTTGTATATTTTTAAGATAATTAACATTAATTGGTGTTTTCTCGTAGGTACTCTTCCGATATTGGTTGGTGGGTCAGCATTTTCATGGACTTCTCCAGTTTTGCCGAAGTTACTGTCAAACGATTCATCTATCAATCCTCTTGATAGACCAATAACTACAGTAGAAATCTCAATGCTGATAGGATTGCCATGTTTTACAGGCTTAATGGGCTCACTTTTGGCAGCGCCTCTATCGGATAGATTGGGAAGAAAGAAATGCATGCAAATTTTCACATTTGTAATGTTTCTCTGCAACATATTCATTGCTTTTAGTAACAGGGTTTTGTATATAATATTACTTAGATGCATCTTTTTTGTAGGAATGTTTGGTATAATGGCTGTAGTTCCAATATTTATAACAGAGATATGCGAGAATCATAATAGAGCTAAGTATGGATGCCTTGTGGGCTTATTTTCTCCTTTGGGTAATCTGTATTCCTACATTCTCGGTCCATTATTCAGCGTAAAAGTTTTTACTTTGATTTCCAATATACCAGCAGTTATCTTTTTAGTATCATTTATTTTTGCCCCAGAATCTCCTTTCTTCTCGGTATCTAAGGGAAAAGATAAAGACTGTATAAAAACTTTGAAAAAACTCAGAAATAATAAGTCCGATCTAGAGTTACATAAGGATTTTAGCGAGATAACCAAAAGTATTGAAATCAAAGTAAATACTGTAAATCCAGGAATTTCTGCACTGTTTAAAATAAGAGAAGCCAGAGTTGGACTGTTTTTAATATTTATTCCCATGATGACGCAATTTTTGTCAGGTGCACCAACACTTATGCCATTTGTAGGACCCATTTTTAATAAAGCTGCTACCAGTTTGTCTGGTAATACTATAGCTATCATTGTAGGAGCAGTCAAATGCTTTGTATTCGTTATTCCTACTTTTATAGTAGAACGAACAGGTAGAAAACCACTAATGATTTGCTCTAGTTTGGGATGCAGTGTATCTATGATTTTAGTAGGTACCTATTTCTACCTTCAACACATAAGTTCTCCTCTTGCGCAACAACTAAGTTGGCTTCCTATTATATCAGTTATAATAGTGGTATTCTCTTATGCTGCTGGCCTTGGACCTGTTCCTATGTCTCTCACAGGAGAATTGTTTGCAACAGATACAAGGGCAGCCGCATCTGCTATTACTATGACTGTAGCAGGTTTCGCTGTATTCGCAGTCGCTACCATCTTTCCTATTGCAGCTGAGTTAATTGGACTACACTGGTGTTTCTGGTTGTTTTCAATTAACTGCTTGATAGGAGCAATTTCAATTTATTTCTTTTTGCCCGAAACAAAGGGAAGGAGTTTGGTTGAGATTCAGGATATTTTAAAAAATTACAAATTTGGTTTTCAAAAATAGATTTATTTTTTTAGAAATATACTGTTATTACATATTTGAACAGATAGATATGAAGGCTGTGTACATTTATAGAGACTTTCTTATCCAAAAAGATTATATTTACAATACTGTGCTAATTATTGGAATCATAGGCTGTTTTAACGAAAAAAACAGTTTATTTAGAAAAAAATTATATTTTGACAAAATTGTAAAGGTAAACTTACATCATTTAGTTAAGAAATGTGTCCCCCTTTTTCTGCAATTACTACTTTTACCCGTTTTGGTACATACAAAATACAAAATACATACAAAAATACATACAAGAACTCTTTGATGATACTAGATCCGAACAACCTCCATCCTACATATGTGATGACCACTTACCAATCACATCAGATGAAATGCAAAAAACCATATTACAACTAAAAGATGGCAAAGCTCTTGGACCTGACAATGCCTATGCTGAGCTCATAAAACTATTTAACACCGACGGTATTCAACACCTAACAAAAGTATTTAATGACATATATTTAAGCGGAGTAATACCAAGAACATGGCTGAAGTCCACCTTTATTGCTTTACCAAAGAAAACAAAATCCGTATCCTGCAGTGATTTCCGAACCATCAGCTTAATGAGTAATATTTTTAAATTATTTCTAAAAATCATACATCAAAGGATATATAGACTGTGCGAAGAAAAAATCAGCCGTACACAGTTTGGTTTTCGGAATGCAGTGGGTACGAAAGAAGCTCTCTTTAGTATACAAGTGCTATTTCAACGATGTAGAGACGTGAACTGCGACATTTATGCGTGCTTCATTGACTACCATAAAGCGTTCGATACAGTAAAGCAAGACAAGCTAATGAAGATATTAACCAATTTTGGAATAAACATCTGTGATTTTAGAATTGTCAGCAATCTGTACTGGAATCAAACATCATCTATCCGGACAGAGGCAGGAGAATCCGACGATATCAAAATCAAACGTGGCGTCCGTCAGGGATGTATACTATCACCACTTGTTTAACATATACTCTAAGGAAATCTTTCAAGAAGCAGTGGGTGATGTTGAAGCCGGAATTCGAATCAACGGAGAATCTATCAATAACATTAGATACGCGGACGACACGGTAGTATTCGCTGACAGTTCTGAAACCCTCTAGGAGTTAATGAACAGAATCACAGAGGTTAGTCTGAGATACGGACTTTCACTAAACAATAAGAAAACAAAATGCATGATGATCTCTAAGAAGGAACAGCAATTTGGACAAATCAGTTTAACGGTCAACAAATAGAAAGAGTAAAAACATACACCTACCTTGGTACGAACGTCAATGAAAATTAATACCATTCCATAGAAATCAAATGTAGAATAGAGAAAGCAAGATCTGCATTTCAAAAAATGGCTAAGTTATTCAAATGTCATGATTTATCAATGCCCATAAAAATCAGGTTACTACGATCTCTCCTATACTGTTGTACGGATTTGAGTCATGGACTCTCACAGACGCCACCTGCAAGAAATGTGGCTTTATGGTCGCATTCTGAAGATATCTTATACCGACCACGTTACTAATGAGGGTGTTATGTTGAGAATGAAAAAAGAAAAAGAGCTGTTAACCACAATAAAAACAGCCGAAATCGAATACCTCGGTCACATCATGAGGAACAGCGAAAGATATGGACTGCTGCAACTAATCTTGCAGGGAAAAGTAGAAGGAAAACGGGGACCAGGAAGGCGAAGGATTTACTGGCTGAAAAATCTACGAACGTGGTTCAACACAACAACCACAAATCTTTTTAGAGCAGCAGTGTGCAAAGTGCAGATTGCCATGATGGTCGCCAATATCCGAAACGGATAGGGACTACAAGAAGAAGAAGACCCGTTTTGGCATAGATTTTAAGAGCTTCTTAGAGTTCCCACATATCATTTCATTTTGAAACCAAATATAGATGACCGCTTCTATTATTTTTATTTTTGTAGTACAGTTGATTTTGCGGACCTAGCTTTGCAAATGGCTCATAAATCTTCAATGGGGTCGAGGTCTGGCGAATTACTGGCCAATATAAAACATTAATTTTTTTCTTCTGAAAAATTCCATCATTATCTTTACTTCTAATAGCGAGCAAAGTTTTGTTGAACAATCTCTTCCCCTTGGAGCTAAAATTTGTAGATTTCTGTGTCCAAACGCTGTTTCCACATGGAATTTATTTTTGGCTTCGATTGGTACAAAAAATCCAACTTCCATGTATGAAAAATATCCCCAAAACATTTTTTTTGACTGGATGTTTTATGGTTTGATCAATATGAAATGATATAAAGATTTCATTGTTAGACTTCCTGATATATTTGGACCGCTATCTTTGAACGATAAAGTGAGTTTCATCTGTAAATAGGATTTTTCTGCAGTTGTCCACTAAAGTATTATTTTGGCCCACAATAGCCTTTGTTTCTTTATTAGTTCAGTTAGAAGCTGTTTTTTCTGTGGACGCATTACCCCTCTACAATTCTCCAAAAGTCTTTTTCGAACATTTGAGTCATGAATCACTACAGTCGATGGTACTAAATCTTGTTGGAGCTCTTGACTTATTTTTATTGGATCCAATTTGCTCTTTTGAAGTAAAAATCTTTTCATCTGCTGTTTTTGTTTTCTTTTTCTGTCTCATTTTCCTACCTTTTCACATCCATTGATCCTGTTTTTCGTTTACGCCTTAAAATCATGTTAACTTTCACGCCTGACTTACACCACATGTTCTTGCGATTTCTCTTTGTGACATAAAACTGTGTATACTTAACGAGATAATCTTCTCACGCTTCTTAGGCATAATAACCATGATGAAATTAAACGAAAAAAACCCATTAGTTATCGAAAACAATAGAAAATAGCACAAAAACACAAACCTCGTAGTAAATGTTCTAAAAACCCTCAAATAAAAGGCAGAAAAAAGTAAGGTTAAGTTTTCAATGCTTGGTCAGTTGTAAATGTGTGGACAGTGTTGTCAACTATAAATATTGAAAAATCTCACAATGATTCAATTAATTTGCACAATACTGTATAATAGTTCATAGTGTGCCATGATCAACTGATTTGTGCTATTTGTGCTTTATACAAATTATATAAAATATACCTCTTAAGTAGATTGTTATAATAAAATTTTTGTAAATAATCCATTTCTTAAGGACCTGATTGTCGTCACTAAAAGCGTTGAAATCTCTGTTAAATGTCTGCATCGAAAAGTAGGTTAACATTTATTGTACAATATTTATTCAGTATTATAAGTTTATTTATTATTATAATGTTATTCGCAATCTCTGTGAGATGATGATGTATATACACACTTTGGTCTTAATAAATATTAAAAAAATTATGTTTTATTTATGCAACTATTCCTACAAGACTATTTTTACCTGACAAAATATCACAGTAACGCCACGTTTCCTTTTGACAAAACTACTTTTGTTGGAGTACCGTGTCTGGTAATTCTATTGTTGTCAGTTCGACAAATGTTATTAAGGCGTAATCAATTTTTGAGAGATAAGATAAGGTAAGATTAAGGTCCATAAGCTCTATTTGGACCCAAGGATGACAAATTTTACGCTTAAAAGATTTACTACCATAACGAGACTAACAAAAATTCTCGAGTATTATGCCTTTAATCTGAAAAAAGACAATGGAGAAGACTATAAGAGTCATCTACAAAGTCAATGTGGAATGCTACAGCAAAAATGGTACAAGAACAAATTGCCAGGGATACCAAGGGGAGGCAGCTTCAAAGTGTTTAAAAAAAAAGGAATCTCAGTTCAAAAGCATTATCAACCGAAGAACTATTAAAAATCATCCAAATCTTCGACCAGAAAACCACCTATGGAGCACAAAAATTTTTTTTTTCACTTTTGCTCATTTGAACTTGTTTGGAGAAGATATACTCTTTTTTACCGTTCACTCTAACTGGAAGGATGAATCTTGATTCAAAAACTGTTCACTTGGAATCAACACCGTATCTAAGTGGACAACAATGTCAGTTAAAAAAATTGGAATAAATACAAAATAAAAAACAATTCTCATTGATCTTCAGCTGTGTCAGCCTTGTTCAAGTAAGATGTTTCTAAACAGGACTTAATTAAATTAACGGGTCACCCAAATGCAAGTTCTCTATTATCCATATTTGCAGCTGGATTCCAGTCACCACTAGAAGTTGATCGAAAATCTCAGAACAACAAATGAAGCTGGACCTGCGGGTCTGCGGATTCCCAAATGCTACAGGTTAATAATACACAAAATCATGCTTTGGTAGAAAAGAATGGGTAAAATAATTAAGCGGAGTACATGCAGATTCAGCGATTCTGCGTAAAACCAGTGGCGGCTTCTGGAGGTAGGCAGGATAGGTCGAGCCTACCCAGTAATTTTAAGGGCTTTATATTTTTTAACTTTTAATTATTCAATACATTAGCGTCCTACAACAAACAACTATGTTATTATATTACCACAGAAAGCATCAAATCGTATTCAGGCATTTTAAATATCATTAATAGGCCTGATCGGAACTGGCCGACCCAGCTCACATAAGATCCTCGTACAAAAAGCGTTTGAAGTTAAGCAGCTTGCAGGAAAACGATTTATATTGTCGTGTTTATGCTTGCGATTTAGGCATCAGACGATCGGGCCTACACCGACCATCGTTGTCACTTGTAACGTAATTATCGAATTGTAATTTAATTTTTTTTTTAATTATGATAAAAAAATATGTACCATAATCTATAATTGTAACATATTTTTAAACAAACAACACAATTGCAAACAAGTTCACGGTTGCCCAAACAAATTTTTAAAAATTCGTAAAATTCGAAAAAAACAATTACATTTGCATGGATTCTATATCGCCTTATTGTATGCAACTTATATATGGCAACACTGTCGCCTAGCATTAGTTCAATTTTCACTGTTATCATTATTACTAGTTGCAGTAGTTGTTTGGCCGATCGGGGTTGATTTTTTTAAAAATTTTTTGGAATAATGAG